ATCGAAGAACAAATCCAAAGATGGAAAATCTAAAGCACAAGCCTGCATCAGCTCCTTCAGGACATCCACTTTGGCAGAAGGATAATTCTCCCTTCTTTCCAAACAATAATTATCCCTTGATGATTTCTAAGCAGGACAGCAAATGCAACAGCCTTCTTAGAAAGGCTGATAGTCCCATCACAATTGACCATCGATTTCAGAACCGGGCAATCCTTCCATGGCCTGCTCATGCTCAGATAAACCTTCTTTAGTCATTAATATCTGAAAACATAAACATTGTTATGTTGTTTTAAATATCAAATCTCAGCATTTTCGGAAGGTGGTGCTAGAATAACACAAGGGTTATTATTGCAAGTAATCAATAAAATTGAGCAAAACAAAAACATATCAAAGAAAGAGGGAGTTTACTAATGTTCTTGTCCCAGCCATTGCCAGCAGCAAGTCACCCTTTTGCTATTATCCTTCCTTTCTATCTTCTTTTCTTCATTCTTCATCTGTAAACCCTGCAGATCAGATCGGAATAAATGTTGAGATAAAATTGCAGATTTTGACAGCATTCCCTAGATTACCAACAACTCACATCTACAACTACAATCACTATTTATGCTTATTTGCTATCAGTGATATGATTTTTATGTACTAATCATATTTATCAAATGGAAAGATACAATCACCTGTTGTTTCTTCAGAGTCCCCAAATAAAATCTTGTCTGTCTTAGACAACAAACCGTCTTGGTGGTAGTCTTGATGGCAATCATAACCATGATGGCATAGAAAGTATGAGCCTGTTCTTACATGATATTCGGATAAATCTCCAACATTCATGACATTGTGATGAGAAGGATGGGCATTGCGGTGTTGAATGCCTTTCTCTTCACGCTCATCATACACAATCTGGACTCCAACTTCCTTTACCTGAAAAACATCATCAAAACTCGCAGAGAGATTTATTTTATCTCCACCTTCCATCAAAAGACGCCCAATTTCCCAACGGCTAAACCATATCATAGTGTTGTCATCGGGAGTGCCACTGAACATTGGGCTGTAGGTCCACTTCAAACCTTTGGTCTTATTGCTGATTTTAATATAATCAAATTGATAGCTGCTTGCAAGACTTATATAATTGGCAAATGCATAGACAATATATACGTTCAAGGCTATAATCTTGAGATTAGGGACTAAAGGCACATTAAATGATATAGAGGACCCCTTTCTCTTATTGCTACACCAGCCTGGCACCTCATTCCCAGGAACACATATGCTGTATATACCACATTCATACAGTCCCTGTGCCATGGTATTCAAAATAACATTAACGATCAATTATGCAAACAACTATATATACACATATACATACATAAACACACACACACACACAGAGCACTTGAAGTGGACCCTTCTTTCTTGTGGATGTCATGTTGTTCAGCAATTCCACATCAAGGCTTCCCATGGATTCCAAATCAACTAGGCCCAAGTTGTAAATCATTTCTGCACCAGCATTGCCAATAGGCTCTAACTTGAACATCTCCTGAACCTCAACTAGTTTTTTGCAATCACTTGAGTCCAAAATCAGATATCTCAACAAGTTAGGAAGATTTGTTACCATTCCCAGTGAGCTACATCCATCTATATTCAACATTTCTAAACTCATTGGAAGTTCTGGCAGTGATTGGAGTCTAGTGCAACGAGATAACCTAAGTGATTGGAGCACATTAAGACCTTTGATGCTCTCCGGTAGGCTAGAAATTGGATTCTCACTAAGAATCAAATCTTGCAACACAGATAAGCTACCAAGACTTTTCATAAGATCATCATTTGACAGATTGCAATTTGAAAGGCTTAAGCTTACTAATGAGCCTGGTATAAAGAAGCCAATGGAAAACAGATGGATTCTGTACTTTTTCTTGGTTTCAATACCCAAGACCAGAAGAGCGAACTCCATGATTTATCCTCACTTGTGGTAGTCGCTATTCTATTAATGGCAGTTCCATCTGCGTGCAGCACTGTTAAATATTTCATCTTTCCCAACTCAGGCAACTGATCAAGCTTTGAGCAACCAGAGAGAATGAGTTTTTCAAGGGATGAAAGATGACCAATTTTGCCCGGAAGCTTCTCAAGATTTTTGCAACCTTTTAGATTCAAGAAAACAAGCCTCCCTCATTTCCCTATTGATTCATGAACCTCTACCAAGTTTATGCAATCCTTAAGGATCAAATTCTCAAGATTAGGGAGTCCGTCGAAGTTAGGGGTATTGGTGAGGCCATAGGAATGACTGAGATTGAGGAATTTCAATAATCCCCGCAACTGTGATAAAAATACGAAAACAGTTTACAGAATTCATATGTTGGTCCTGAAAATAAAAGATCAGCAGAAGAAAAAAATATAAAAATAAATAAATAATAATTAATCATACCTTGGTCCCCTTCCAAACTTTGTAAAATCCAAATTTTTATGTGTAGAATTATTTTTGGATAAAGTAGTAATTAAATTAATTTATATGGGTCATTTTAGTAACATCAAGGAATTAGTTATGAGGTGTTTTTTTTTTTAATTTTTATTACTTAGATGGTTAAGTTTATAATTTTGGGAGATTGGGTTATAGGCCCACTTGGGCTTTAGGTCTTGGAAACATAGAAGCACAAACAAATAGAGGTAGTGATGTTGTTGTGGCTGCTGCGGCAGATCTAGCAATAGAAAAAAAAAAGAGAGAGAGAAGAAGAAGAAGAAAAGAAAAGAAAGAAGATTCATAGATTGGTGACTTTGATCTAATCATCTCTTGGAGGTAAGATTTGTTTTTATGGTACTCCTAACTATTTCTTTAGACATAGTATCTTGTATGTTGATTGGGTGTATGTATTTTGGGGTTTTGGAATTTACTTGTAGACTATAGGATTAGATTAGTACATTATAAAGAAAAGAATGATAGATGCATCATGGTGATCAATAATAATTGTTTATGTGGTATAATATTTTATTAGATTTGTGAGATTGAGGTGGATTTTGGTAATTTGAGATTAGCTTGGGAAATATTATTTTAGCTGTTTGATGTAAGTAACCTTCTATCACTGTTGGTTTATTTTTAATCCTATCGAATCGTTTAAAATCATAAATATTTATTCGTAGCTTTCCTGTTCTCTTAAAATAAAATATGGGTCAAGTATAAAACAACATCGAATATTATTATGAAAATTATTTGAATATTCGGTGAAACTATTCTGAAAATTATACTAAACGTTTATTCTGAAAATATCGAATGTTTTATTTAAAATTTGTGTATTGTGTGAATTTTGAACATCACTCTAGTCTGACTATGATTTGGACCCTAGCCAATGGGGGTTATTTATTGGCACAGAAACTAGTTTCTTTTGGGGCTTTACCACCGGCCTATGTGTGGTTCTGGGCCTTGTCACGGGCTATGTGACCGTAGTCAATAAGACTTGGGTTTTGTGAATCAAATCATTGAACCATCTGAATATCGAACCATCGATTTGAACAATGAATTATCTTGTTGGCTTTTCATTTAAAATGTATTGTACATTGTTTATTTTTAGCTATGAAACCATCTTACAAAATAATTGTTCATTTATTGAACTGTAGAAAAATTTATATTTATTGATTATCGATTTATTTATTTATTTTTTAATACTTGATCTAGCTGGCAGTGATGGTTGGTTATTTACTAGGCTGTCTAGCTTACCCTTATTTTATTTTTTTCAGATTCTGAAGAGTAGAGCTGCGCGGGATTTTTTTTTTACATATGGGAGTGCCGAGAGTAGGACTATGATTTAAGTACTTGGAATATTTGTTTTGTTAATGGATTTTATTAGTGGACTTGGTGGATAATTTCATATGATAAGAATAATCAATTTTTTTTTTTTTTTATGGATTTTAGTATTATGATAATTAAGGATTTGATTGGAGTATTTTACATTGTTAGTTATGTGTTGGACTCTTAGCCTTGCATGCTCACTTAAATGAGTGTGCGGCGTTGTCACGGAGCTTGGGACGTGACAAAATTAGTTAATGTTAACTCAGTAAATTGATAGAGTTTATAAATTTGCTCTTAAAATGTGACACATGTTGCTTATATGCACCTTTTTTATAAAAAAAAATATTTAACAATTATAATGAGTTGAATCAAGTTGGAACAAAGTCAAAAATATATAGTCAGATCGAATCAATTCCAATTTTATGAACCAAAAACACAAAGACAAAATATAAGAACTATTGGTGCAATTTACCCTGAAATATTTTAAGAAAATTACACCGATGGTCTCTATATTTAACCCCTGTGTCATTTTGATAATTACACTTTCAATTGACTTAACTTTAACTCTTAATTTTAGATTTCAATTTGGTCCAATTAATAATATGGTTAGCGTTTTTTTTTTTAACATTATCACTAAATTGATTGAGATTAACTAATTGAGTTGAGTAAGTTTATAAATTTACCTTTAAAAATATGACACGTGACATTTATCTGCATATTTTTCATAAAAAAATATTAAGAATTGTAATCAATTGGACCAAATTGAAACAAAATCATAAATTCAGTATCAAAATCAAATCAATTGAAATTACAATGACTAAAATGACATAAAAACCAAAGTATAGGGACTATCGTCGTAATTTGTCCAAAAAATTGATTTTGAGACAAACGGTCCGTTTTGGCTGTGACAACACCCACCCCGCTCATCACAAAGAGTGAGATTGCATTTCATTTCTCTTTTCATTTTTCTCATCAAATCTTCCAATCAAACACAGGCAGAAGAGATTGGATGTATACAACTTCATAATCCACTGAACAAAGGAATTATTGAAGGTTGAAAACGAACTCTCCTTGATCTAGTCCATCTTAATCAACCATCAATAATCAAGAATTACAAGCAAAACTCTGTACGGTTTGAATGCTCTATTTATTTATTTTTATTTTTTTTCACACTTTTAGAGAGAAAAAGATGAGAGAGTTAATCAGATTTGAATTGTTTTTCACACATGTAATAGAATTTGGCTCCCTTAGACTGCCTGAACAAATCGCTAAAATGTTTCTAAATTTACCAATACAAGATAGAAAATAGCCGGATTCAGTGCAGATTGGGCTGAATTGTAAACAGAAGAAATTGGAACTGCTGAAAAAATAAGGACAATGGAAACTAAAAAGGAATTATTGGAGACTCAAATCAAGTGAAAAGAATACTATATATTATTTGTTATTGATTTACCACTTGTAATTTCATACATGTAAACTCTTATTTTGGTTGGACTTTCAAAATTTATGACAAAATATGGTGCTGTGTCAATTGAGCAGGTTCCATTATGACTCCATGAATAATCCAAGAACAAATCCAAAGACGGAAAATCTGAAGCACAAACCTGCATCAGCTCCTTCAGGACATCCAGTTTGGCAGAAGGATAAGTCTCCCTTCTTTTCCAAATGCAACAGCATTCTTAGAAAGGCTGAAAGTCCCATCACAATTGATTTTGCTAGTCCCTTCACCAAGAGTTGACCAATGGTTGATACCTTCACTGCCTGGGACTGACCATCGATTTCAGAACATGGTAGTCCTTTCATGGCCTGCTCATGCTCAGATAAAGCTTCTTTAGTCATTAATATCCGAAAACATAAATATTGTTATGTTGTTTTCAATATCAAATCTCAGCATTTTCGGAAGGTGGCGCTAGAATAACACAAGGGTTATTATTGCAAATAATCAATAAAATTGAGTAAAACAAAAACATATCAAAGAAAAAGGGAGTTTACTAATGTTCTCGTCCCAGCCATTGCCAGCAGCAAGTCACCCTTGTGCTATTATCCTTCCTTTCTATCTTCTTTTCTTCATTCTTCATCTGTAAACCCTGCACATCAGATCGGAATAAATGTTGAAATAAAATTGCAGATTTTGATAGCATTCCCTAGATTACCAACAACTCACATCAACAACTACAATCACTATTTATGCTTATTTGCTATCAGTGATATGATTTTATGTACTAATCATATTTCTCAAATGAAAAGATACAATCACCTGTTGTTTCTTCTGAGTTCTCAAATAAAATCTTGTCTGTCTCAGGCGACCAACCGTCTTGGTGGTAGTCTTGATGGATATCATAACAATGATGGCATAGAAAGTATGAGCCTGTTCTTACATGATATTCGGATAAATCTCCAACATTCATGACATTGTGATGAGTAGGATGGGCATTGTGGTGTTGAATGCCTATCTCTTCACACTCATCATACACAATCTGGACTCCAACTTCCTTTACCTGAAAAATCTCATCAACAGTCGCAGAGAGATTCATTTTATTGCCACCTTCCATCAAAAGATGCCCAATTTCCCAATGGCTAAACCATATCATACTGTTGTCATCGGGAATGCCTCTGAACATTGGGCTGTAGTTCCACCTCAGACCTTTGGTCTTATTGTTGATTTTAATATGTTCAGGTTGATAGCTTTCAAGGCTTATATCATTGGCAAATGCATAGACAATATATACGTTCAAGGCTACAATCTTGAGATTAAGGACTAAAGGCACATTAAATGATATTGAGGACCCCTTTCTCTTATTGCTACACCAGCCTGGCACCTCATTCCCAGGAACACATATGTTGTATATACCACATTCATACAGTCCCTGTGCCATGGTATTCAAAATAACATTAACGATCAATTATGCAAACAACTATATATACACATATACATACATAAACACACACACACACACACACACACACAGAGCACTTGAAGTGGACCCTTCTTTCTTGTGGATGTCATGTTGTTCAGCAATTCCACCTCAAGGCTTCCCATGGATTCCAAATCAACTAGGCCCAAGTTGTAAATCATTTCTGCACCAGCATTGCCAATAGGCTCTAACTTGAACATCCCCTGAACCTCAACTAGTTTTTTGCAATCACTTGAGTCCAAAATCAGAGATCTCAACAAGTTAGGAAGATTTGTTACCATTCCCAGTGAGCTACATCCATCTATATTCAACATTTCTAAACTCATTGGAAGTTCTGGCAGTGATTGGAGTCTAGTGCAACGAGATAACCTAAGTGATTGGAGCACATTAAGACCTTTGATGCTCTCCGGTAGGCTAGAAATTGGATTCTCACTAAGATTCAAATCTTGCAACACAGATAAGCTACCAAGACTTTTCATAAGATCATCATTTGACAGATTGCAATTTGAAAGGCTTAAGCTTACTAATGAGCCTGGTATAAAGAAGCCAATGGAAAACAGATGGATTCTGTACTTTTTCTTGGTTTCAATACCCAAGACCAGAAGAGCGAACTCCATGATTTATCCTCACTTGTGGTAGTCGCTATTCTATTAATGGCAGTTCCATCTGCGTGCAGCACTGTTAAATATTTCATCTTTCCCAACTCAAGCAACTGATCAAGCTTTGAGCAACCAGAGAGAATGAGTTTTTCAAGGGATGAAAGATGACCAATTTTGCTCGGAAGCTTCTCAAGATTTTTGCAACCTTTTAGATTCAAGAAAACAAGCCTTCCTCATTTCCCTATTGATTCATGAACCTCTACCAAGTTTATGCAATCCTTAAGGATCAAATTCTCAAGATTAGGGAGTCCGTCGAAGTTAGGGGGTATTGGTGAGGCCATAGGAATGACTGAGATTGAGGAATTTCAATAATCCCAGCAACTGTAATAAAAATACGAAAACAGTTTACAGAATTCATATGTTGGCCCTGAAAATAAAAGATCAGTAGAAGAAAAAAATATAAAAATAAATAAATAATAATTAATCATACCTTGGTCCCCTTCCAAACTTGTTCCAAGCTTATATTGCGCAAGCCAAGAGCAATTAGGCTCTCTATAGAAAAATCACTTGGTATGGATTTTAGAGGAAATCCATGCCAACACAACCATCTTAATCTTTTAGGGAAGTCCTTACCCTCTTGTGGTTTCTACATAATTGAGCTGTAGCAATCTAAGTTTGCGCATCCTTGCAAATGAATCAGTTTCCAACTCAACCTGATTTGAATTTCTTACACCAATGTTTATTGGGTGCCAGGAGAAGAAACCAAAACAATGTCGTTTCAGTGAGTTGCCTTGGTTTGCAAGCAATGATTTGTTACTAAGTTCTTCAAAGTGGGGTCGTTTTGCATTATTAACACCAAAGCTTGTCATGGAACAATTATCTTCCCCTAACACATGCATGTCAAAGAAAAGGCCTTCAATTGAATCTGTTCCCTGATAAGATAAAACATCTTGAATAAGAAAAGAACATCCATGAACCCAAAAAAAAAAAAATTAATAGGTAAAAGAGTAGTATGTTTCTCACAGTTTTATCTCTCAAAACGTTAAAGGAATCATTGTTGTGCCATAATCTGCTGCGTTTACCCGGCTCCTTGGGTGATTCTTGGCGAACAATTTCTCTTCCCATGTCTCGAAGCAATTGGTGCATCATCAATTTGTTTTGTTCATTAATCGTTAAGAGACATCTGTCAATGAGATTTTGAATCCCAACTGTTGGGTAGAAACCACATTCATCTAGGATTCTAATAGTGAAATCTTTCCCCTTTCCAATAAAGAAACAAGAAATATGAAGGAATAGATTTTGGTCATGGTCATTTTGTAAAGAATCATAGCTTATTTTTAGCTTTTTTAGAATTTGAGAATCAGGAATAGCCACCAATTTTTTTATTGCGTTTTCCCATATATTTAAGCTTTTCCTAGATAGAGAAGAACCCAAAACTTGAAGAGCTAAAGGTCGGCCTCCACAGTGTTGTACTACCCTTTTTGAATGCTCAACATAACAATCAATGGGATGGTCTTGTCCAAAGGCATGCCAACTGAAAAGCTCTAATAATTCATCATCATCAAATCTCTCCACCTTATGCATCATATAAACTTCATTAGCCTTTAACAATTGCTTGTGCCTGGTGGTTAAGATAATTTTACTTCCTGGATGAAACCAATTGCGCATTCCAATTATTGCATCAAACTAGTCCCGCTGATCCACATCATCAAGAACTACAAGAACTCTTTTGCAACCAATGGCATCTTTAATCTTAATGATTACTTCATCAACACTGCTTATTTTTTCCTTTTTCCTTTTTAAAATGTCCGAAAGAAGTTGCCTTTGTAAACAAATTAAACCATTGGATCGTTCTGAAATTTCTCTAACATTTGCAAGAAAGTTGCTAGCTTCAAATCTTTCAAAATTCAAATTATAAACAAATTTGGCAATGGTTGTCTTCCCTATTCCACCCATTCCATAAATCACTGCTATGCTAACATCAGTTGATTCATCCTGTAACCACGAACTAATGTTTTTGACTCGGGATCCTATTCCAATTAAGTACGGGGCAACATTTAAGACTATGCGGTTCAACTTATCCTCAATCACTTTGACAATTTTTTGGATAAATTTTGCCTCATGTCTACAAGTTGCAGAAAAGTGGAAAGTAAAGCACGATAAGCATGCCGTGACTTAAAATAATACTAAACTACTTGCATAAATAATGGAAAACACCAAATAGTTTGTCCAAAGCTTGATAAGAAAATGCAATTACACAAAATGTGTGGTTGTGCAAGATAATTTTGAATTAAAGAACAGGACAATTTTTGAATTAAAGAATAGGCTAGCCAAGCAAGGAACATTATAGAAAAAGCATAATAGGATTTCTCTACTCGCTTAATTGTTGTGCTATTTTGGGGAAGACTTCAACAATCAGTCGAGAGAGAGAGAGAGAGAGAGAGGGAGAGAGGGAGAGAAGAAGAAGAAGAAGAAGAAGAAGAAGAAGAAGAAGACGACTCCACTACAAATTAAATACACAACTGCCCACCAAAATAAAATGATATGCAATATTTATGCAAAAGGGCTATTCCTAAAACTTTTACCACCATGGCAACTATCATCACAATAATCAACTTCTACCAGCACATGTTTTTCTTTAAAGTATATTAACATATATGTTGTTCACTTATATATGTTTGACGGTACCTCAGCCCCACTTTTTTGGTAGAGAGACTAATTCCCGTAACTCAAATCCACACAACCACAAACAAGTCTGAGGTGGGATAGCACTTGCCACAGCACTAGGTGGCGAACTCTTATTAAAACGAAATAATGAATATTACAGTTTTTAATAACTCAAAAACAGTTTCATAATGCATTACCAAAAATAAAGATATGAGGAGCTTACCCATCAGCTTGATTATGTAAGACCATCCCTGCTAGATCAGCAACTTCTCTAAGTGCCGCTCTCCACCCTTCCACCTTTTTCCTCAGGTACTCCTTCTTCCTTTCATTAGTTTCCCCCATGAATCGCTCTTCATGTCTACCAAATGCTTCCGCAAAACTCCCCATTTGTTTCCTAACTTGGGAAGGATCCACATCATAGAAGACGGGTAAAATTACATGTCCTGATGTCCTCTTGTGTTCAAGGATCATCACAAGTTCATCAAGGCACCATCTGGAAGAAGCATAGTCTTTGGAAAGAGAAAAACTAGGGATCATGAAAAAACTTTCATGAAAATGATCATGAAAAATTTATAACCCTTAGATTACCTTGATTAGTGTGTGGTACTTTATTGTCTAGTTCTGATTTAACATTTTCACCTCTCCCAATAACATCATTATCTCTAAATGTGCGAAAACCCGAACCTAATAATGCTGTGTAGAGGTGGTCAGTAAAGGCCTTGCGGGTGTCTTCACCTCTGAAGCTCAAGAACACATGATAAGTGCATTGAGGCGGCATGGAAGAGAAGGCCATTTGACTTTGGGCAAACCCTTATATGATATAACTGAAGGAATGCTACATACAATTTCTCAAAGAAGTAACTCTCTGAACTGCAAAATTAACCATGAAAACTACCAACCCAACTCAAAATGAACACAAGAACAAGCAAATAACAACTAGAGCATCTTCAATCCTTCATTTTATTTTTTTAATTATTTATCAAATTTGAGTAAAAAAAGCTGGTTAAAAGCTTTTTAACTTTTTGACTTTTCCTGGATATGCCAAACTTGGTCTTAATAAAAATAATTGGTAGTTGGAATTTAAGTTTGTCTGAAAATTTGAATTTGTGCTTTCTAGTCGATTGCTTGGACAATTATCCACACGATCGGTGCAACACTTATCGATTGCGGTTGTCACTTTTGTCGACTTTAGCTATCACCTTCTTTCCAGATGATTAGCCAGATAGCCAACAAGCTAAAACCTAGGCAAATTGAGCAAGTCAAAATTCAGAAGATGTTGCAGTCCATATTTAATCATCAAAATTATTTAATTTGCAAAGCTATTTATGTGTATTATTCATCAAAATAAAAAAATAAAAAAAAAATAGATTAATTTAATAATTATAATATTTTTATTTTATCACATTTGTCTCATAAAATTGAATAACAAGTATGTTTTTAAAATATATCGTATTGTTTTTTTGGAGACAAATATAATAAAATAAAAAGACTATTGTTATTAGATTAGCTTAAATTTTTTTTGGTAAATTACATTAACACCCCCTAAGGTTTCTGTTTAATACAGATCCTCCCTCACATTTGAAAAATTACATTTACCCTCTTGTCAGATTAAAATGACATATTTGTCCCTTATCCTTTATACATATAAAAAATAAAATATAAAATAAAAAAAAGAATAAACTACCAATAGGTCCTAATAGTTAGACTTAATTCTCATCAAGTACTATTGAAAATAAGTCTTGGTAAAATCGTTGTTAAAAATAATTTTTTTGTGACATTTTTTTACACACGTCACTAAAAATTGACAATTAGTGACTTTTTATTGTCATAATTTTTATAAATTGTTACTAAAACTTACAATTAGTGACGCTTTTCTATGACAAATTTTTTAAATTGTCGCTGAAAGTTGTGAATTAATGACACTTTTTGTGACAATTTTTTTAAACTGTCACTAAAACTTATAATTAGTGACATTTTTTGTGACAAAATTTTCATATTGTCGCTAAAAATTAACAATTAGTAACATTTTTTAATAGTGTTTAATAAAAAATGTCATTAATTATCATAGGACCTATTGGACAATAAGTCCACTTATTATGATCTACACGTAAGTTTCCCATAAAAAAATAATGCAGATATTTTGTTTATGTCATTTCAAGGGAAATAACAATAATCTTTTTTTATTTAACTCAACAAAAAATTGAGTTTTTTTATTTTTATTTTTTGTGTTCTTTTTATTTTTACTGAATTTTTTTTAATAT